ATCATCATCATCATCATCCTCAGAAGCATTTCATCATCACATCATCGTCCTCATCATCACATCATCAATCATAATCGTCGGTTGTAGTCGCACTGCCTAATACATCAGATCATCAGCATCATCATCATCAGCAATCAGCATCATCATCACATCTTAAAATATTCATCTCTCATCGATCAATCATCACCATAACCACATCAATGTTGTAACCATCCGCAGCACCATCACCACACGACCTAACAATCATCATCAATAACAATATCATCATCACCACCATCATCATCATCATCAGCATCCTCATCATCATCATAATTTTCAACATCAACATCACCATCATCAGCAGCAGCATCACTATCAATACCAGCGCAAGGCTCATCATCATCAACAACATAATCATCACCATCATCCTCATCATCCTCAGCATCATCATCATCATTATGATGCCAATTACCAGTATCATCATCATTCCCAGCACCATCATCGTAATCATCATCATTCGCAACAGCATCAGCATCAGCATCAGCATCATAATCATTACCAGCACCACGATCACAATCACCATCACCATCATCATCATCAACATCATCATCTTCATCACCATCACCACACGCGCAAGACTCATCATCATCACCATCGTCCTCATCATCCCCATCATCTTGGTGCTGACAACCAGTATGGTGACGACAATCACCATCATTACCATTATCATCATGGCGATGGCAATCACCACCACCATCACCATCATCATCATCATCATCATCATCATCATCATCATCATCATCATCATCACCAGCATCATCGAAATTATCATCAGTCGCAGCATAATCAGCACCCTCATCAGCATCAGCATCACCATCAGTACCTGCGCAAGACTCATCAGCATCATCACCATCCTCCTCATAATCATCCTCAGCGCCACCATCATTATGATGACAATAGACATTATCATTAGCATCATCCTTATTTGCATCATCAACAGCATCATCATGAACAACATCACCATCATCGTCCTCATTATCATTATCATCATTAGTACCATGACATTTTATAACGTCATCATCATCATCGTCATTATCATCACCAGCATCAGCATCAACGTCATCATCAGCAGCATCAGCATCATCAACATCATCATCAGCATCATCATCGCCATCATCACCATCATATGCAGCATCATCACCAGCATCAGCATCAGCATCAGCATCAGCATCATCATCAGCATCATCGTCGTCATCATCATCATCATCATCATGTCTCCTTCTAATTTACGTTGCGCGGACTGGCGCACAAATGGGCTGAAGCGTCAGCCTCGTCCTCCTTAGTGTTCCTCCTTCCACCTTCCACCTTCTCCTGGACACAGGGAGCTTGGTGGAACCGGTATCAGTGATCAGGAGCGCTTCAGTAGGCAAGGCAATGAGTATGCAGATGTCTCGGTCAAGGTGGGGGCCGTGGTCCACCCCAAACCAGCGCCCAATGTCCAAGACCGCACCAATTTCTACATCAGCAACAGCATGATGGTGCTGAAACTGGCCGCCAAACTCCTTCCGCTCTGGCCTAAGTGTGGCCTCTCAGCGGTAGAGTACTGGAAGCCCCCACCCCAAGCCAAGTCGACTGCAGCGGCCCCAATACTGGGCCTGGCTGGGTTCCTGGTGGCGCCGCCTTGTCTTCAGGGAAGCGGGGTGACAGTCGTCCTCCCCCAAGCCGCTGCTTCAAGGCCCCCTTGACCTCATACTGCATTGATTGCCCGCACAAAGTATCGCGGTGCAGTGGTGGAATGCTCAGACGGGTCTGTCTGTTGTTTCTGTCTCGTTTGCCACATTTACCATACGGGTGGCTGGGGGGAAACAATGCCAGAACAACAAAACGTTGCCAAGTACAGGACGTACGGCTTGTCTCGTTTCCCCACTCCTCCGTTGTTGGGTTTTCGTTATGGATAGAGTAATGTGGTCGTCTCTCTTCTCTTGTCTTGTACCTCTCTCGTACCTGCCTCCGCCCTCGCCATCCCTGGGGGGGCTGCGATCTGCGAAACCGTCGCCACTTTCGAGGGTTGCTCGGGAGGGGGCCAGAACAATGACACTAGACGCAGATTCAGATTAGGCCTCGCCGTCCCTGGGGGGTTATGATCTGTAAAGCTGTCGCCACTTTCGAAGACTCCTGGGGGGGCCAGCACAATTACGCCAGACTCTGAGTATCTCAATTTCTTTGGGCCCCTGGAGTACATGGGGCACCCCAGACTTCAAGGGCCCCTCCCCTGGACTACAGGCGCCCCCCCCCCCAGACGACAGCCCCCCCCCCCCCAGACTACAAGGACCCCTCCCGAACTACAAGGGCCCTCCCCCCCTACAGGGACCACCCCCCCTGACTACAAGGGCCCACCTCAGGACTTCAGGCACCCTCCCAGCACAAGTGCTACGAATAGCCAGCGGTCGAGGTTGGCGCCTCTGTCTCGGATAGAGGCTCCTTGTACGCGGGCGCGCGAGCGTGCCCGCGCACAGCCGCGGAATCACCGGCTTGCCCGCCAGACGACATGATTGCGCACTTGCTCGCGCACTGCGCGTTGTCTGCGTTGCGTGTGGCGCTGCGGCTGCTGTGCGCTGCACGGCCTGCGCGCGCGACAGCGCACGAGCGCTCATCCCGCGCGAACCAGTGCCTGGCCACAGCTCGGGACATGGCTCTCCGATTGGCCTGCAGAGGGGCGCAGACGAGCAGAGACAGTTGCATGCTTGGCGGCGCCCACCACGGGCGACATCGTCGTCGTCGTCGTCGTCGTCGTCGTCGTCGTCGTCGTCGTCCTCGTCGTCGTCGTCGTCGCTTTCGTCGTCGTCGTTTTCGTCGTCGTCGTCGTCGTTTTCGCCGTCGTCGAGCGGAACGTCAAACCACGAAGATCGACGCATTATCCCCCCAGACTGCAGGAACCCCGCCCGGACTACAAGGGCCTCCCCCCCCATCCGGACTATAAGGCCACCCCCCCGGACTACAAGGGCCCCTCCGAACTACTAACCCCGCCCCACGCCCCAGACTACAGGCCCCGCCCCCCGACTATAGGGCCCCCTAGCCCCCCCCCGCTGGAAGATTTGTCACACCAAGAAAAAAACAGGTACTCAGAATACGCGGGTAATTATCGGATTAGAGTTCGCCATCCCTGGTGGGCTGCGATCTGCGAAACTGTCGCCATGTTCGAGGGTTGCTGGGGGGGTCAGCATAGCATGGGCCCTACCCAGATTCGGACTGGACCTCGCCATCCCTGGGGGTCTGCGATCTGCGAAACTGTTTCCACTTTCGAGGGCTTGCTGAAGGCAAGCACCCCCAGCTGAACAAGAGGGAGAGGAACATCAAGTTTCTTCCCTCCCCTTGTCCCTTATATGTTTCCGATTGAGAGCGTCGCGGAAAAGCAAAAAAAACCTTCGCAATGTTTCCTCCATCTCCCACCCCCCGAGTGAACTCCCACGCGATGGGCCAGATGACGGCACGAAAACTTAGACGCGTTCCCCTCCCCAGATCTCTGGAGTCGCGACCTTCGCATGTCATTACCTTTCTCTTGGACCAACTTCTCATCCCTGGTCGACTTCAACAGCCCTGGAGCCCCGCAAGGACCCCCCGAGGTTGGGGATGGACAAGAACCGTCGCCGCGACTTTTTCGCAGCTTTGGGTCAGGACGCCATTTCTTCCATGGCGCACGACAGGCCCACACATCCTCCGGTAGATCCACACTTCGTGGCCTGCGGGCGATCACGGAGGCTCCATCTTTTTTTTGCGACGCTGCAGACTGCCAGGCCGTGCTCGCGAACACGCGCGCGTGAAACCCCCTGATTCGATGCGCTCCCGGAGTGGCGCAAGCGCGGCCAGTCTGAATCTCGATGCCGGGTGACATGCTCGGCGCCGAGTGGGCAACGACAGTGACGTGCAAAAGCAATAAACACCCAGAGCCGCTCCGACCCCCAACCAATGACGTGCAGAGAAAAGGTGCCCAGCGAGAAGGCCGACGAGCGCGGCGACAGCGGCGGAGCGATGCAGCTGCGAACGCGGAAGGTCCCGCTGCGCCCCGTGGGCGCAGGCAAGCCGCCCGGCCCCACGGGAGGGGAGGCAAGCCGCCCGGCCCCACGGGCCAAGCCCCCGACCGTACCCCTCGCCCCATCCAGGCCTCGGGAGAGCGGGGAAGGAGGGGCAGGAGGAGGAGAAGGGATGGAGTCTGCGCGTCACTGCACGCTGCAGCCCTTCTGGTGGAACTTCTGGTGGTATCTCTCCGCGTCGTGCCAGGTCTCCATGCGCGCGGCGTGGACCTCCGGGGCGCCTCGTCTGGCGCGTGCCTGCAGGGCCTTCTTCTGCTCCTCGTCGTGGTACCAGATGGCCGAGTGGTGCTGCGTCTTAGTCCCAGCCTGCACAGCGGCAGTGTGGGGCTGTGCCCCCCCAGCAAACGCCAAGCCCACTGGCGCAGGCGTGCGCTTACGAATGCGGTCAAAGTGGGTGAGGAGCTCGTCGTAGGTGATCAGCTGAGGGTCGAACTCTATGCGGATTGCTTCGGAGTGCCCGTCCCCAAGTTGGACGCTCTCGTGCGTCGGCTTGCTCAGCGTGTTACCGCCAGTGTAGCCGACCGTGGTGCGGAGGACCCCGCTCACCCTGTCGAACAGCTGCGACTCCCAGAAACAGCCCGTCGAGAACGTCGCGACCTGGAGCGGCCGCCGTGCGGCATCCGTGATGGTCTGGACGACACTCGCCAGCAGCCCGGAGTAGTCGGGCAGGCCCTCCTCTGGCGGGCGGAACCTCGAGATCACCATGGACTGCACCTCGGCCGGCTGACTCGCCAAGAGCTCGAAGGCGCCGTCGTCGACGGGGTAGCGCCCGCGGAAGGCGGCCAGCCGCTCCCCCTCGGCGGGCGCGGCGGGCGCCTCCCCGCGGCCGCGCCCGGCGCAGGGCGCGCCCGAGCTGCGCGGCCCGAGCGCGCGGTCCTCTTGCTGGAGGCGCCGCAGCGCCTCGGCGGCGGCGAGCCGCGCCCGCTCCACCTCCTCCGGCGACTCGTCCTTGGGGCGGAATCGAGCCTGCTTCATGCCACCTTTGTCTGGGCCGTTCCTTATCCTGTACTGAACACGCCACGCCTTGTTTGTTGTGTCCCAGAAGATATACTTGACGCCGCTCTGGCGCTCTGCCCTGCCGCTACGGGCCCTCCCAAGCTTGCCGAGCTGGTCATCCCCCTCGAGGCGCCGCAGCGCCTCGACGGCGGCGAGCCGCGCCCGCTCCACCTCCTCCGGCGACTCGTCCTTCGGGCGGAAGTAGGCATGCTTCGTGCAACCTTTGTCTGGGCCGTTCTGTATCGTGTGCTTCACACGCCACGCCTTGTTTCCTGTGTCCCAGGAGATATATTTGACGCCGCTCTGGCGCTCCGCGCTGCCGCTGCGTCTAGAAGGGGCCCGCCTGAGCTCGCCGAGCTGGTCCTCCCCCTCGAGCCGCCGCAACGCCTCGACGGCGGCGAGCCGCGCCCGCTCCACCTCCTCCGGCGACTCGTCCTTCGGGCGGAATCCAGGCTGCGTCATGCAACCTTTGTCTGGGCCGTTCCTTATCCTGTACTGAACACGCCACGCCTTGTTTGTTGTGTCCCAGAAGATATACTTGACGCCGCTCTGGCGCTCCGCGCTGCCGCTGCGTCTACAAGGGGCCCGCCTGAGCTCGCCGTGCTGGTCCTCCCCCTCGAGCCGCCGCAGCGCCTCGACGGCGGCGAGCCGCGCCCGCTCCACCTCCTCAAGCGACTCGTCCTTCGGGCGGAATCGAGGCTGCGTCATGCAACCTTTGTCTGGGCCGTTCCTTATCCTGTACCGAGCACGCCACGCCTTGTTTGTTGCGCTGCCTGGGCCGACGTGCCTGGCCGCGGCCGGAGCCCGCGCCCCGCGGCCAGGGCCGGCGGCCGCAGCCCGCGGGCGCGCCCCGCGCACCGGGGCGGGCCCCGCGGCCGGCCCGGCGAAGGCCTCCAGCAGGGCCGCGTGCCCGCGCCCCGCGGCCGCCGCCAGGGCCGCGCCGACCGCTGCCGCGGCCGCGCCGCGGCGGCCGCGCCGGCGGCAGGGCATGGCGCCCCACTCGGAGCTCAGCGGCGGGCCCGGCGGGCGAGCGAGCGGCGCGGGCGAGGTGCTGGATCCGCAGGGTGCCTTCCCGAGCCTCCCTAGCTTGAGCCAGACTGGCTGCGGAGGGCGATCACGGAGGCCCCATTGAGGTCGGCATCGCTAAAAAAGAAGCGCCATGATTGAGCAGAGCATGTCGATCGTCGGAGACCTGGCCTTCGGGTCATAGCGCGGGTCTCTGGCGGCCGATCGGGGCGACGGTACTCGGGCACCCCATCCAACGCTTCTCGGCGAGGCTCCGACTTTTTCGCAGCGATCGAGCTTTCGGCCAGGACCCCCTCTCCTCCATGGCGCACGACAGGCCCACACATCCTCCGATAGGATTGCTTCAGTCCGACCCCTTCCTCGAGGGGTATTTACTTCTTCGTCCCCAAATCCACACTTCGTGGCCTGCGGGCGATCACGGAGACTCTATTTTTTGCGCCGCTGCAGACTGCCAGGCCGTGCTCGCGAACACGCGCGCGTGAAACCCCCTGATTCGATGCGCTCCCGGAGTGGCGCAAGCGCGGCCAGTCTGAATCTCGATGCCGGGTGACAAGTTCTGCGTCGAGTCGGCAACGACAATGACGTGCAGAAGCAATGTCGCGCAAAGAAAAGGTGCCCTGCGAGAAGGCCGACGAGCGCGGCGACAGCGGCGGAGCGATGCAGCTGCGAACGCGGAAAGTCCCGCGGCGCCCCGTGGGCGCAGGCAAGCCGCCCGGCCCCACGGGCCAAGCCCCCGATCGTACCCCTCGGCCCATCCAGGCCTCGGGAGAGCGGGAAAGGAGAGGAGGGGCAGGAGGAGGAGAAGGGATGGAGTCTGCGCGTCACTGCACGCTGCAGCCCTTCTGGTGGAACTTCTGGTGGTGTCTCTCCGCGTCGTGCCAGGTCTCCATGCGCGCGGCGTGGACCTCCGGGGCGCCTCGTCTGGCGCGTGCCTGCAGGGCCTTCTTCTGCTCCTCGTCGTGGTACCAGACTGCCGAGTGGTGCTGCGTCTTGGTCCCAGCCTGCACAGCTGCCCCCCCAGCGAACGCCAAGCCCACTGGCGCTGGCGTGCGCTCGCGAATGCGGTCAAAGTGAGTGAGGAGCTCGTCGTAGGTGATCAGCTCAGGGTCGAACTCTATGCGGATTGCTTCGGAGTGCCCGTCCCCAAGTTGCACGCTCTCGTGCGTCGGCTTGCTCAGCGTGTTACCGCCAGTGTAGCCGACCGTGGTGCTGAGGACCCCGCTCACCCTGTCGAACAGCTTCTGCGACTCCCAGAAGCAGCCCGTCGAGAACGTCGCGACCTGGCGCGGCCGCCGTGCGGCATCCGCGATGGTCTGGACGACGCTCGCCAGCAGCGCCGAGTAGTCGGGCAGGCCCTCCTCTGGCGGGCGGAACCTCGAGATCACCATGGACTGCACCTCGGCCGGCTGCCTCGCCAAGAGCTCGAAGGCGCCGTCGTCGACGGGGTAGCGCCCGCGGAAGGCGGCCAGCCGCTCCACCCCGGCGGGCGCGGCGGGCGACTCCCCGCGGCCGCGGCCAGCGCAGGGCGCGCCGGAGCTGCGCGGTCCGAGCGCGCGGTCCTCTTGCTCGAGGCGCCGCAGCGCCTCGACGGCGGCGAGCCGAGCCCGTTCCACCTCCTCCGGCGACCCGTCCTTCGGGCGGAATCCAGGCTGCTTCCTGCAACCTTTGTCTGGGCCGTTCTGTATCTTGTACTGAACACGCCACGCCTGGCCTTGTTTCCACCAGGAGATGTACTTGACGCCGCTCTGGCGCTCCGCGCTGCAGCTGCGTCCAGAAGGGGTCCGCCTGAGCTCGCCGAGCTGGTCCTCCCCCTCGAGCCGCCGCAGCGCCTCGACGGCGGCGAGCCGCGCCCGCTCCACCTCCTGCTGCGACCCGTCCTTGGGGCGGAATCGAAGACTCGTCACGCTACCTTTGTCGGGGCCGTTCTCTATCCTGTACTGAACACGCCACGCCTGGCCTTGTTTGAACCAGGAGATGTACTTGACGCCGCTCTGGCGCTCCGGCTCGCGCCTGAGCTCACCGAGCTGGTCCTCCTCCTCGAGCCGCCGCAGCGCCTCGACGGCGGCGGGCCGCGCCCGCTCCACCTCCTGCTGCGACCCGTCCTTGGGGCGGAATCGAAGACTCGTCACGCTACCTTTGTCGGGGCCGTTCTCTATCCTGTACTGAACACGCCACGCCTGGCCTTGTTTGAACCAGGAGATGTACTTGACGCCGCTCTGCCGCTCCCGCTCGCGCCTGAGCTCACCGAGCTGGTCCTCCCCCTCGAGCCGCCGCAGCGCCTCGACGGCGGCGAGCCGCGCCCGCTCCACCTCCTCCGGCGACTGGTCCTTGGGGCGGAATCGAGACTCATCACGCCACCTTTGTCGGGGCCGTTCCTTATCGTGTACCGAAGATGCCACGCCTGGCGTGTCTTGTGCCAGACGATGTGCTTGATGCCGCTCTGGTGCTCCGCGCTGCCGCTGCGTCCAGAAGGGGCCCGCCTGAGCTCGCCGAGCTGGTCCTCCCCCTCGAGCCGCCGCAGCGCCTCGACGGCGACGAGCCGCGCCCGCTCCACCTCCTCCGGCGACTGGTCCTTGGGGCGGAATTGAGGCTGCATCACGCCACCTTTGTCCGGGCCGTTCCTTATCGTGTCCCGAAGATGCCACGCCTGGCGTGTCTTGTGCCAGACGATGTGCTTGATGCCGCTCTGGTGCTCCGCGCTGCCGCTGCGTCCAGAAGGGGCCCTGGCCCGCCTGAGCTCGCCGAGCTGGTCCTCCCCCTCGAGCCGCCGCAGCGCGCTCGACGGCGGCGAGCCGCGCCCGCTCCACCTCCTCCGGCGACTCGTCCTTCGGGCGGAATCGAGGCTGCTTCATGCAACCCTTGTCTGGGCCGTTCATTATCGTGTACTGAACACGCCACGCTTTGTTTGTTGTGTCCCAGGAAATATACTTAACGCCGCTCTGGCGCTCCGCGCTGCCGCGCCGATCGTGCCTGGCCCGCGGCCGAGCCCCGCGCCCCGCGGCCGGGGCCGGCGGCCGCAGCCCGCAGGCGCGCCCCGCGCACCGGGGGGGCCCCGCGGCCGGCCCGCGAAGGCCTCCAGCAGGGCCGCGTGCCCGCGCCCCGCGGCCGCCGCCAGGGCTGCGCCCACCGCTGCCGCGGCCGCGCCGCGGCGGCCGCGCCGGCGGCAGGGCATGGCGCGCCCCTCGGAGCGCAGCGGCGGGCCCGGCGGGCGAGCGAGCGGCGCGGGCCGGGTGCTGGATCCGCCCCAGGGTGCGTGCCCGAGCCTCCCTAACTTGAGCCAGAAAGGCTATGGACGGCGATCACGAAGGCCCCATTGCGGTCGGAATCGCTAAAAAAGAAACGCCATGATTGAGCAGAGCATGTCGTCGGAGACCTGGCTTTCGGGTCATAGCTCGGGTCTCTGGAGGCCGATCGGGGCGATTTCCGGGCACTCCATCCAACGCTTCTCGGCGAGGCGCAGCTGCTGGAGAATCCCGAGGCTGGAACGCCGTCGAGCGCCGACGAGAACGGCCGAGGAAGACGTCTGACCCGAGATCACTGCAGAACAGGTGCAAGTGCAGGCGCAGAGCAGGCGCTCACCAGGCGCAAGAGCAGGCGCTCACTGCAAAAAGGCCCCCGCAGAGATAGCGAGGATGCTCCCTGTCACAGGCCTTGGTGTCTGGCGGACGCATCGCAAGCTTCATTAATTACTATCCACCGCGGCCAGATGTTTTTCAGAGGGCATGGTGGTTGGCCGCAAACCTCATGGGCACTAGCTCAGAAGCTGATTTGCGTTTGAGCGCACCCTGATGCCCCAGGCATGCGACATCCTGCTTTTGAAATACGGGGTCCCTGGAGGTCCCGACCCTTTCACCGGGACCGGTTTTTTAATCCTGAGTCCTTGTTTGACGGCCCTTAGGCCCAGCGAGGGCCCCCCGAGGCCGGAAATTGCCAAAAACCGTCCCTTCTGAGTTGGCTTTACGACGCGAGCACGTCTAGGCAGCTGATTTGCGTTTGATTGCACCCCGATGCTTCCCACGGCACCAGCTGTCCCGTGCCACCCGTGACCCCAACCGTAGGTCGGGCACGTCCTCCTACAAGCTAATCTGGAGGAAAATTACAAAACAGGCACAACACGTTCAAAACAAATCACCAACAAGTGTCAACAAATCGCAGACTATGTTTGGACTATTCTGGAATATTCCTGCCATTCTCACTGAACACGCCATGTGAATGAGTCCTCCCCCTTTTGGACGCACGTACTGTTCTCCTTGGATCGTGGCGCGAGCGAGTATAGCACGCTGCCGACTGCAACCGCCTGCGCCCTTCATGGGCTCGCCGTCTGGCGCACGGGCTTGACCTGATCTTCCTCCTGTAGAGAGACATGCCCGACTTAACCCCACCCGAGGAGGGGGGAGAGTCCCAGCCGAGCCGGCCCCCGCGCGGCAGCCCGGCCTCGCCGACCTCCTGCGCAGAATGCCCGCCGATGGCAAGGCCGCCGCCGCCTCCGGTGCCGCCGCCGCCGCCGCCGCCTGCTCGGGCATTGGTAGAGGGGGGGGAGGAGGAGGAGGAGGAGGAGGAGGAGGAGGAGGAGGAGGAGGAGGAGGAGGAGGAGAGGCGAGGAGGAGGAGGAAGGAGGAGGAGGAGGAGGAGGAGGAGGAGGAGGAGGAGGAGGAGGACTGGAAGGAGAAGGTAGGTACGAGGATAAGGACGAGGAGGAGAGAGGAGGAGGAGGAGGAGGAGGAGGGGTGGGCATATACGGTCGGTCGGAAGCTTCTGCTTGTCGTGCCACGTGGCGGCCCTGGCGACACGCTGGGCCCTGCACGCGGATGGCGTGTCGCTCCACCCCGCGGAGCGGGAGGCTCCGGTTCGGCTCGGGGCGTGGACGCCAAGGGGGGGGGGCTGGGGAATGGGTCGCGTGTCGCGCCGCGGCGCGGTGGGGCGGAGGAACGAACACGCTGTCCAAGAGGTCCCGACGGCAAGAGAAGTGCGCCCTCTGGGGGCCCGCGGTGGCAGGTGCGGGGCTTCCTCGAGGGCCCCTTCGGAGCTAAAGTTTTCTGCAACCCTCGACCCCCCTACTTGGCGGCGCGCACAAGGGGGTAGGAGGGGAGGGGGGGAGGCTTCTGAAAAGTGGGCTGCTTCAGGCGCCGGTCCTTCATCTGCAGTGAAGGCCCGCGCCTTCTCAGAAGCGAAGGGTGCTTCTCAGAAGCCCCATCCCCCTCCCCCTGCCCCCCTCGGCGCGTGGCTGACCCGTGTTGCGTTGCCGTTTTCCCGACCTGCGGCGCCGCGGCGCCGGCGCCGGCGGCCCCCATGCGCGCGCGCGTGGTGCGCGCACGCTCGAGGGGCGCGCGCGCGCGGGCGCCAGCCCAGGTGGGGGGTCCTTGCGCCGAGGGCCGGTGGGCGCTGCAGAAAGGGAGGGGCTGGGGGGCTGGGGAGGGGCAGCTGGGGGCGCCATTTGGCCGCTGCGTGAGGGGGGGCGAATAAGAGGGAGAGGGTGGACGGACATGCACCTTTCGCACCCCTGTTGGGCCCCAGAGGGCCCTTTGAGGATCCTGAAAATGCACGAAAAAATACACCTCTCGTTCCCCGCCCGTGTACCGGCCCCCCAGTACGCGTCGCCCAAGCCATGGGGCTCCTGGCTGCCGCCGGGGTGCCTGCGTCCTCCCCGTGCTCCTACTCGTCACGCTGCTTGCCTGCTCCTCCTCCCCCTCCTCCTCCTCATCGTCCGCCGCCTCCTCCTCCTCCTCCTCCTTCTCCTCGTCCTCCTCCTCCTCGTCCGCTTCGTGTTCGTCCTCGACATCCTCCTCATTCTGCTCCCACATCCAGTGCCTCTTCGTCCTTCCACTGTTGTTCGTGCTCCTGTTCTTGCTTCGAGTCCGGTGGTACTGCGTCTGCTCCTCCTCCTCCTCCTCCTCCTCCTCCTCCTCCTTCATGGGCTCCGTGCTCGCTCTTGTCATGAATAACCAACTGCTTTACTCATGAAGGACTGCAGATCCTCTCTCGCCCAGGACGTCCACCCATTGCATTGCCGTCGAGGTTGATACCCCCAGCAGCTGGATGGATGGAGGGGCGTTCCTTTTTCTGGCCCAGGCCCACTTTATCAAGTCATGCTTGCTTATATGAGCTCAGCGTCGCAAACGGTCGCACATGCTGCGCCGAAGCGTAATGGGCAAAAACCGGCGGCGCGACGCGCGGAGCAAAAGAGTTCGACCTTGGCCCTCGCCCGCGGCTCGCGAGGCTTGGTACTTCCGGCAGCTGCGTCGGATGGGGGGGGCCTCCTTTTCTAGGGTTAGGTCGGGCATGTCCTCCTACAGGAGGATTTCGAGCGACAAGTAAAACATAGTCGAAAAAAACTGTTAAATTGATCAACAATCATGTAAACATTAGCCACCAAATTGGACATATTGTAGAGCGACGTGCCGGGCTTAATTCCAGGACGCACAGAGCGGCATAACGAAAACTGCTCCACCACTGGAGGCGCCTGCGCTTGGGCGGCTGGGAGGTCTACGCACCGAGGGTGGCAAGAGGGGGTAGATACCCTCCAGCCGCCCTGGGAAAGTCGCCCCCCGGCGGCACAAACATTTGTCTTATACCGTTCCTCGCCCGCTAACTTTTCAGAGCCCCCGACGGCGCTAACAGTTGTCTTATACCGTTACTCGCCCTCGAACTTTTCAGAATCGTGCTCGCGCTCTGGCGCTGCGCCACGTGCTCCTCGGAGCTCCTTGAGCAACCACGCGGGCGGAGGGCAGCTCATCGCACTCTCACAGCCACGGGCCCTTCTCGGTGAGCGGCCGAGCTTCACAGCGGGTGTGGTGACCAGAGGCGCGCAATGCAGCGCTTACCAGGCCCCCCACGACTTAGCGTGCGAAGAACGGTAGACATGAACGGTTCCGCCGTCAGGGACGTCTACCTCGCCCCCCCCGGACGAGTGCAAAGTTTATACCCCTTCAATTGCACGTTGGGACATAAACTGTCCAGCCGCCCTTGAACAAACGGCCCCGATCGCGGAATAGTTGATGTCGAATTCGATGCAAGCCCACATAATCCTCACCGTTCCAACTGGAGCCTGGCGCAGTGGAACAAATACTTGGTTTATGAGGGGGGGGGTGACCCGGAGGGCGTAAGGAGGCATGGCCTCAGTGGCACGTGCTGGGTTTGCTCGAGTCGGCTCCCTCCTTCCCCTGCTGCTCCACACTCGCCCGTCAATCCTCCCTGTTTCTTCCCTCATCCCTACCCCACATCCCCCCCCCCTCCCACTCCCCTCTACTCCATCATCCTTCCCTGGACTCCTCCCATACCTTCTGCTCCCTCCTGCTCCCCGCTCCCCGCACACCCTCTCCCTCCTCGCCCCATCTACGCGGGAGGGCTGCGTAACGAAGTCTGGCCACCAAGCAAGCACAATGCGACTTGGCTTGAGAAACCGCCGACGAAACGACGACGACAAGCAGGGGCCCGCCCGCCTAACCGCAAATCATATGCCCCTCCTCCTCCTCCTCCTCCTCCTCCTCCTCCTCCTCCTCCTCGTCGCCCTCCTATATGTTCGACGTTGCGCCAACTTGAATCCTCGGATTGCCGCGTCCTTGCAAAACAAAGGTCCGGATTAGCGATTTGGAACAAAGGTTAGCCAGGCGGCACGCGCGAAGGTACAGGAAGGGCCTAAGGCGGTAGAATAGCAGAGGGCTCAGAGAGGGCGCAAAGTGCTTCGCGAAGTCCCCCTCCTCCTCCTCCTCCTCCTCCTCCTCCTCCTCCTCCTCCTCCTTCTCCCACTCTTCCTCTTCGGTGTTCCTGTCCTCGCCATCCTCCTCCTTGCCCAGCCTGTGAATCTCCCCCCCCCTCTTTATCCAACTTCTCCTCCTCCTCCTCATCATCATCATCCTGCTCTCCTCCTCCTCCTCCT